GAATTTCAGCAGTGCTCCTCTTTTGATGCTGTAATAGTAAGCAGATGATTGTATCTTAAACAAGTACATTTCAACATTTTTTGCATTGTTCCAGTGATGCAAAGTAGCAACTGTCAGCCCACTGTAGCTGTTGATACTTTCTGATTGTTTTGATGTCTTAGAAAATGAGCCCTTAAAATTGAAGGTTTGCAGTTCTTGTGGTCTGTTCCTTTTATTTGTTTAATTCTTGTTGGGTGTATTTCTCTTTTGAGTTTCAAAGTTTTTACTATTCATACACAAGCTACAAAAAATCTGAGCTAGAATACTTGAGAATGTCAAGGTTTAGAGTAGATCGAAGAATAAAAACTAAGTCATAAAATAAAATTTAATATTGGCTATACTATCTCTGACTGTAACACTAACCAGTATGTAATTTTGCAGTGTCCTGTCCACTTATGTAGCAGCCCAATTGACAGTTCAAAGTAAACAGTAAAATGTGATAAAATTTCAGATCTTCTGTACTTGATGAACTCTGGGATTTAATGTGCTCGCTGTCCTAACAAATGGTGGTTTGTTTCTGACCAGTTGTTACAGTGATCATCTAGGACGATGGAAGTATTAGGGTGGTTTCCCCCTTGTAACTGAGATCGGTGGTCACTGTACCACCTCCGTGCTGGAATCCCTGTAGCTACTGCCCTTGTAGAGGCTTATTAACGAATTGGATTTTTCTGCTCATCGCCTGGATTATGACCCATTCTAATTACATAACCTCAAGATTTTCATCCCATACAGATAGGCCCAGGAAAGTGGTTGGGTTTTTTTGTTTGGTGGTTTGGGGTTTTTTTAAATGTCATTTTGCTGTCTGACTTTTATATGACTTTAATTTTGCTGCGAGGTTTAAACTTCTTCCTTTGGGGGGGGGGGAATATTTTTTCAATTCTCAATCTAGGAGAAATAAAGAGTTTTTTCTCTGGTCTGTCCTTTCTGCCTATCATACTACATTATCCACTTCAGTTAATTTACATGCCTCTTCCTGTTTGTTCTTCCCCCAGCCCCGAATTGTCTGTGTCAAATTCTGTTTTGAACCTTTTCTGTTCACCTGGTCCTCCCAACTATTTCTGTCCCTTACTGCGATTCTTGTGTCTTCCCTCTTTTTAAACCAAGGTCTGTAGCTTCTCGCAGTCTTGGAACTAAATTCTTTGTTCGCAATCCATATTTTCTCTCCTGTAGATCTGTTTTATCAGTTGCATATCTTCTGTTCTTAGCTTTCTAATCTGTTTATCCTTTTCCTATGTGATCAGTTTATTTCCCTTACAAAGTGCCAAAACAAAAACCAAAACAATCCTGAACAGAAGAAAACTCCACGAATTTTGAGACTAAGGTTAGAAAGAACATTTTAGTGCCGTTTTTGGGAGAAGAGGGTCATTCTTTAAAAAGTTTATCTTGCAACATTGGAAACAAGTCTCTTATTCATAAGAAAGTTATGTTAACTCGAGTTTTCTGAAATGCAGTGGCCTCTCTGTATGTGGTTCCTGTGTAACAACAAGTGCATACTTTGTCCTGCCTCCTAGTGCAAAATGTATGCAGTTTTGTGTTATGGTAAATAAAGACTGATGTAAAAGTAGCTTATCCTTAATAGGTAAATGCAAAGCAACCTTTGTATTTTCAATGGTAGAAAGATAGAAGAAAGGTTGTACTACCTTTGAGTAAATGTGATATGTAAGATTTCAGTCAAATCTCTTCAGTCCTTACTTCCCTTTTTTTTCTCCACCAGTATCTACTACTCCCAGTCTGGTCACATGAGTTTGTCAGTCTCTGTCATTGTCAGAGAACGTATAGTCTTTCTGTCCATTTAAAAATATTCCTTTTGGTCTGGACAATTTGATTCATCCTTTTTTCCCTATCCCATCACCCCTCCACACTTATCTGATGGTCTTTGCCTTTATCTTTCTGGCCTTCAGAGTGTTTAAAATCTGATTTTATTGTTTAGAGGACATAGCTCTTTTCCTTGTAAGGAAGATCTTCCCTTTCTCAAGCATTCATTATACAGATTGGAATAGAGCCAGATCTGTTCTACCTGTTTATCTTGTTAGCTCTTATTGCTAGAGAAAGGAGTAAGCAGGGAGAATAGCTCCTCTCTTCTCTCGTTCAGAGGCAGCATATGCCAGCAGGAATGCTTCAGAGCATGCTTTCCTTATGCAAACTTCTCCAAAATAGTTGTCTAACTACTAAAGACTCTTTTTTTCATGGCATAAATGAGAGTTTCCAGAGGGTCACCATTAGTGAATACATATATAAGTTCTACTCCTTAATAAAAAGGAGTTGGAAGAAGACTGAACTGAGATTGAGGATGTAATTTGGTCTTTTTTTTCCCCCCTTCCTCTATTAGCAAACATATAAGAAACACTTCTCATTACATTTTAAAGACAAAGCTGTGGTAGCTCAGAACCTGTTCAATTATTCCTTCTGCTGGAGTAAATGTCAGTCAAAGGAGGAGTTTGGATGTCTGGGGGTGGTTTCCACATCAACCATCTGTGTTTGCTGGTATTTGAGTCAAAGTCCACAACTGTGTCCCTTCTCCTTTCCCCTCAGCTTCCCACACACGCAGTTTAGCTGCTGGTGCATCTTTAGGGTGGAGCCACAGTTTTACACCTTTTCACCTGTGTTAGAAAATAAGTTCTGTTCTCTGTACCCCCTACCCAGTTTGAGATGAGGTGATGCATGTAGCTCACAGAGGGGAGTAAGTTGATTCTTTGTATTGCCTTATTTCCTTAAACAGCCATGCTATGCCATCTTTCACCTCTTTATGCTTTCTCTTTTTTGTTCTTTTGGCGCAGAGCTCAGTTTTCTTCCTAAATCCTTTCTGTATAATGGTGATCTTATTTACAGGCAAAGTGCTTTAACTTTTCTAGACCTTTTCAGTAGTCAGCATGATAGCAAGCATTTGTTACATCTGAATGATGTTGCTTTTCAGCTTTTTCATGAAGGAACAAGAGAATTCAAAAGAAAAACTTCTCTAGGGTGACAGCCTTGGCAGCTAACTGGAATGTTCAAGCTCAGAGCTGCTTTGTCAATCACAGAACCAAAAAAACAAACAAACAAAAAAAACAAAACAAAAAAAAAGAGCTAGGAAATGAAGTGACTTAACTTATCTGGGAAGAGGAGACCAAAAAGAAAAAACAGAGCAGTTAAGCAGTAGTACAAACACTACAATATGAGTTGCATTTGGTGAAATTGCAAAGAATGAATACATAAAAGTTTTTCCCAGGTGTGAATACACAGTTATGCTACAGTTGGGCTAAAATAAGCTATCTGTCCAATCTCTTTCAGTTTCTGTGTTTCTGAACTGTGGTAAATTTTTAGATATGGCTGTACTCTTCAAAGAGAAGAGATTTCATGTCCTAAAGCAAGCAATAAAAAAGTTGCAAAAATGTAATTGATGTGGTTCCTGTTATCATACAGAATGACATCCTAAGAAAAAAGTTCCAGAATAACAAAATGAAAAATATTCTCCCTGTTCTTAGCTGGTATTACCTTACTCATTAATATGCTAGGCTATGAACTTAAAAACTCATTAAAAACAGATATTTGTGACTTTTGGTATCGGCAAATCCCTTTTCTTGTCCTTCCCTGCAGTTGATTAAATGTGCAAAGTATTCTGTATTTCCTGAAACGTGTTATCTAGCGCTTGTGGATAAACTTACCGTAAGTCTAAAAGCCTTTTGCTATTTTGAACAATTTACATAAAACTGGAGTTTAAACTGATAGAAGCATAGTTGCATATGTGAATGTAACTTCAAAGTGTCATTTATTTCATGAGTTTACATGTGTTTGGAAACATTGCTGCCACCTTTGGTGCAGAAAGGTTTTGATTTTTTTAAATTTCTATTCTATAGTAGAATACAACACATTTTTCTTACTTTCATTCTGTAAACAAGTGAATTGTAACTACAGTTTCAAGTTTCACCTTAGAAAACCTGTTTGCTATTTTGCCAAAGGGAAATACATTTTCTGTCTAAGTAAACAGGCATTGAATCAGCATCTGATACATTTGTAGGAAAGATTCCCTTTTAAAGTTGTCTGGCACAATAGAATCTTGATAGGGATTGGGAGTCTGTTATAAAGTGCTGCTAGAATATGTTATCAAGTTAAAGACATGAATATAAAATCCCCAAATGTCACACTTGCTTTCAGAGTAAAATATAAAGCACCTCAACTTAAAAATATGCTGCTGTTGTGAAGCTATTCCAGATCAGTCCCTGACAGTTGTTTCAATTTCTCACTGGCCTACAGCCTGTCTGTGCAGAATGGAGCAGTGTGTTAAATTTTCTGTTTAGCATGGTTTTGTGGGTTGCACAAGTATGGCTTTGTGAACCACATTTAACAACCAGTACTTACAATCGCAGAACAAATTAGTGTAGGAATAGTTTTGGTTTTCTTCTTTTCCTGGTTTGGTTTGACAGTAGCTGTTATACTACTGTCAATAATATGAGCCTTCCATGGAAAAAAGGAAGGTAGACTTGAATTTTGTAGTTTTTAACAAGAAGATCTGACAAACAGCATTCACCAGATACATAGGAGAACCAGTTTTAACTGGATTTCAGAATTCTTTTTGAAAAAAATTGCAAAGACCAGAAACAGACTATTTTAATTATGACTATGTCTCAGAACATCTCGCGTTTTGAGGAACTCTGAAAGTGGTAAAAACAGTGAGATTACACACACCCACAGTAGGTTAAATATACGGAAAGGAACACAAGGCAGCTAACTAGTGATATTTGGTCCATGAAGAGTGAAACTTGGCTTGCTTTCAGAGCTGAATTTTTTTCTTAACCTAACATTTTGGGGCTATTTATGATATCTATGTTTCATACTAACAGTGGAGATGTGGTACAATGAAGCATTCAGCTTCAGCGTGTTTTGCAGTTGGGATGACATGAAGGGCCCTTCTTTACAGGAGATAATGCAAAATTTTCACAACCTGAAGCAAAATCCTTTTTGTAACTATTTTTTTCATCCAGAAAGCATGAGCAGCTGGGTGGGGGCGTGGAGAATGAGAGGAGTTTGGAACAGAATGTCTTGAGCGTGTAAATGGTCGTATTTGTGAGCAAGAAACAGCAATCCCATTCTGAGAAGGGTAGAACACAGAATTTATACCAAGCCTGTGACAACACTTGAAACAAGAAAAATCATGCAAAGATAAAATGTAAAAAAGTAAAAATCCTGATAAAACACTACCTCCTCTTAAATATGAATAAGATTTGGAAGACAGCTGAAGGCAAAGGACAGCGGACATTCCCAGCACTCTCAGCCCTCTGTTTTACTATTGACTTTTCAACAGTGTAAATTTTCTTACCATGTGAGAAACTTGCTTGTTGCTTTTAGCATTGCTATAGGGTGCTTGCCTGAAATGGAATTCTTGCATGAAATGGAATGAGCCATGTAGATTTGTGTGCATGTTAAATTTGTAACACTAAAGACTCAAAATGAGGTACTGATAGAGTATGTATCAGTGCTTTGACTTGCTTAGCATAGTCTAATTTTTTTTTTTTTTTGTTCTGCCATCCCCTGGGCCAATATCTGTGTAACCCATTTGACAGCTCTGAACACTGTTAATAAAATAATATTTTTATTTTTGTCGATAGCACAAACTTAATCCTTTTCATTGCACGCTTCCCTGGTGTCTTCTGGAGACATGCAATGTTTATAAGAGAAACTGTGTTGTAAAGTTGTAAACAAGATTGTAAAAAAAGCTGCTGGTGGTAGAAAAATAGTGAATCTTGCATGAACTGTAAAGGTTGCCTTGATAGCTATATAGTAGGGGAAGCAATTGTAAACTTTCTAATCGCAGTTTATCAGTTTATATGTTTGAGAGTGAAGAAAGGTTCCTTGTCTTACCAGTCTTTAGCCAAATTGAAAGCAGACCTGGGGAGGTAGTACTAAAGCGTTATATGGAACTGTTAAAACAATACAAATGGACCATAAATCTTGAATACATGCATTACTAGTGAACACTGATGTAAATGCCTCATAAATGGATAAAGTGCCAGAAGTACCTGTATCTTAATTTACCATGTGGAGGAAATGTGGAAGCAGGCATCCCAGAATAAAAATTACTACTTGTCTGTAAGTTTTGTAGAAAAATATTGTAGTTGTTCCAGGTTTACAAGTATTAAAATGAAGTATAAGTATTAAGCAGTTAATATAGAGAAGTTCAAACTTATGTGACTAAAAGCCCCAAACATTTTAAAAAGTACAAAAACATAGATTTTAAGAAATGACATCGTTATATAGGACATTTGTACTGATTATAGCTAATAGCTTACATACCTTTAAAACAGGTTGCTGGAATACAGGCCACCCATATACCTGTAATTCAGCCTATTTTAACTGAATTCAAATTCAGCCATATTCATCTCTTCTTGTCATTCTTGTATCTCCATAAACAAATAGGATTTTTAGTTCTTACTTTGTAACACCAGTATTGTATACGCTGGGTTATTCTTCAGATTTGTTGTTATTTTGCTAATTTTGTCATCTATTCCTTTCTCTTTGAAATGACAGTTACTAGAGAATAGCTGGCTTGTGTACTTGGTCTTGTGACAAAAATGTGAGTGCGTACTAAAATTTAACAAATTTTTTTTTTTTGGTCTTTCAATCTTCAGATTTCCTATTTAAGTTCTTGGTCATAGGAAATGCTGGAACTGGAAAATCCTGTTTACTACACCAATTTATTGAAAAGAAATGTAAGTATATGTGAGCACAGTAAGAGTTCTCCATTGCTTTGTACAACAGATGCAGGCTCTGCCTACATGAGTATCTATTCTTTGTATGGAAGTTCCTGTAATTCTCTTTTTTGTATAGATGAGCATTTTGACCGAGAATTGTGTTCAGAACCATGCTGTGAATCTTTATTGCTCACTGTTTGCTTCTAATAAAAAACCTGAGCGGTATTCTGTATTACTGTCGAATATAACAGGATGTTGATGAAAATACGGGCTTAATTTTTGTAGGAATTATATCTTGCAGCTATAAGCTTCCCTAGTTGTATTATATTATAGTAGAGAATTGGATCTTTTAGAAAAAATACTGAACAGATGAAAGCAAAGTTGAATTGCTTGAGCAGATTTGGAAAGCCTGTCGGACAGAACTCAAATCTCCCAACATTTAGTCTCTTTCTAAATAAATAGACACTGCTCTTTAAGGACTGTGTTCTATGATAAATCCTGGTAGACTCCATTGTAAAAATTATTTAGAGATGAATAATGTTGGGTACTGCATTTAACATCGTGATTAAACAAAAATAATACGCATTTAGAAGCCTTTGTAAATCTAAGGTGACTGCTGTCTTTCTCAACTGAATAGTAATTCACGTTATCTCTTGAGGAAGAGCTTTAGGATAATACTGTGTAATCACTGAGGAGCATAGCATGATTTTATGATTGAACTTGAACTGTGACCTTGCCTCTAGTCAGGGCAGTTGTATATTGCGGAGAATCTGTGATATCAACAGTGTATATAGAGCAAGTATCTTAACTTTGTGCTTTAAAGAAGCAGCAGCTCTTGCTTATTCATGGGCAAGACTCTCTCTTTGTGTTCTGCTTTTCCATGAATTTTAATTTAAATTGCATCTAAGTATTAGAAAACACAGGTGGGGAAAAAAGTGTGCAAAACTTATCTTGCCATTTATTGATGTGAACTGGGAATGATTTGATTAAGGCAAGCCTTTCTAGTAGTAATTTTGAATTGAATAAGCTATTTAAAAGTTGTAAGAATGTTTCTTTCTGCATGGTGTCAGTAGATTTGAGTGGCACTGAATTTGATGGTTCAGAGAATGGTTTGTAATTTCAACACTGAGGAGTTTTGATTATACCTACACTGGATTATGTCAAAACTAATGATTCACTGTAAATATTCTACAAACGTCTGGGTTTATTTCTTTTTTTTTTTATAGTCAAAGATGACTCAAATCATACTATAGGAGTGGAATTTGGTTCAAAGATCATAAATGTTGGTGGTAAATATGTAAAATTGCAGATATGGGACACAGCAGGACAAGAGAGATTCAGGTACCTTTTCAATCATTTGATTAAGTGTTTGTTATTAAATTGTTGCTGTGGGTGTTGGGTGTTGTTTATTCATGCTTATAAGTAGGCATAGTCAGTGAAATTGTTTGCTTTCATAGCATCTAGGCCAGATCTTCCAACGTGGACATGGCAACATAGCTCGATTGATCTGCCTTGCAGGATTTGAGGTTCTGCCCTTTCTTTGGGTATTTTTTGTGATAGTTAAGCTGTATAAGTAGAATATATTGCTAAAAGTTTGTTCACCAGCTAAACTCAGAATAGTTTAACTAACTGTGTGTACTTCACTGTGTGTTTAGAAGACCTATTGGTTGGAAGTTGTAAGCTGTTCAAAATCTGCATGAGAACAATTTCACAGTATAATATTATTTTGTTATAGGGAAAAAAATATCAGTTGTCAAGTTCACTTGGCTAAATACACTTCTAGAAAGACTGAGATCTCTTAAGTTTGTTAAAGAAAAAGCAATGTATTTGTTAGCTTAGAACCACCAATGTATGCTTTTAATGCTGTATTTTAACTGTGTCATACATCTGAGGCATAGCTCAAACTCAGTAAAGATCTAATGTATTCCTGAGTAAATTCACCATCAAATAGAACATCAGTGTTTTTGTATTTTTGGAGAGTGGGATGTGTCTGGGAGGTTTCTTTCATTTGGTGGAGGGGCAGGGATTAACAAAGGTGAGGGTGGTGGTAGAATTCTGAGTAATGGGCAGCAATCCAGGTAAATGTTTTCTATTAGACAAGTTCTTTGGATTCATCCATGACTGGGTAAAGCTGCGCAGTGCTATGTAGTCTCCATTACTGAGATCTCTTCAGTGTGTTGGCCAGATATCCTGGGATTGTGAGGAGCTTGGAGGCTCAGTACTTCCGGAGCCTCCAAGGGCAAATTCTGCTCTTTCAAGTTCATGGTGTTCACAGACTTGCAGGTCCCTTTTTTCTGTTGCTTTTTATAATCTAATTATTTTCTTTTTAAGGCTGACTAGACCTCTGTGTACTTAGCAGGTTTTTTTTCTTCTTCCTCTGCCTTTTGAAGGATGCTTTGCTTTGCTTTCCTTGCCTTGCCTCCTTCTCTTCAACTTAAGGAGTCTCAAATTGTTCAATTACAGCTACTTTGCTCATTCTCTCCTCACTGTTGAGAGTTCAAACATAAGTTAATTATGCTGTTTTCATGCCACAGGTACTACCATCAGCTCCTAGTTCTGTATCAGGCTATATAGTATGATGATGTGTTTAGCTTCAGCAGCACACAGGTCATGATGTACTTTGAGAATCCCTGTACAGCTATATTTAGTGAAAGTGTTTCATCACAAGTCTAGTAGTAAATAGTCTGCTGCTGCACAGCTGATAATGTTGTCGAAAACCCACATTTTATTTTAAATATGTAAATGAGAATTCTGTTTCATAGTATAGATTGCTCTATATTAACCCAGATTTGAAACAATGAAGATGTTACAGAAATGTATATCTGTAATTCTATTCCAGGTCTGTAACAAGGAGTTACTATAGAGGAGCTGCGGGTGCTTTGCTTGTCTATGATATAACCAGGTAAGAAAGCTAGCAACTCTTTTGCTTATAGACTACCAGATACAATTAACGCATAAGGATCCCCCCAAGTACCTAATTGTCTAACAGAGAATGGGCAGGAAGAAAAGAACATAAATATTGAAAGTACTTATGTTTTAGGGCATATTTAAGTTTTGAAACTTGCTTACATGAGATACTGTCAATGTCATAAATGTCTCAAAGGGTTAGACAAATACATGGGCCCACTGGTAGCTATTCTAATCATGCTGGACTACATGCCACTGGCTCAGGAAGCGTTGCAACAGAAATTAAGAGCAGACATTAGCTACTTTTATCAAAGATGGTACACCCCTGTTTGTGGAAACTGCTTATTAGTATGCTGGTATAACAGGTCATTCTCTGGAGAAGCTAGCTCTACCTACACATTCCTTAACTGTAGCACAAAATTCTGTTCATCTCTGCATCTTTTAATATTTTAATATTATAGGCAGCCAATAGAACACCTTACCATTACACATTTCCACGTTTTTTCCTGGCCACCATTGACTGATACTTGTCAGATAAGTTTTGTGTTCATTAATGACGATTTGCAAGATCTGCTGCTTTTTGTCCTGTGAGCAGACTCTTCTCCTCTGAGCAGTCTTTGAAATCTGTGTTTTGTGCTTAAGGTCGGTTGGAGTCATCTGTCAGTGTTACTGCTTGAAGGCTTTATCTCTGAGCACCACTACGATGATGACTAATGGTGTGTGCAGGGTAACTGCCAGTGACATTATTGGTCTTGACACATGTGAAAGTTCAGGCACACAATTCTCCACAAGTGGAGTAAAGTCTTACAATCCCACCTGAAACGCTTCAGTTGAATTCCATGTTAAACAGTAATTCATTCTGTTATCCCAAAATTTTATTTGCAAAAGGCTGAAAGTAGATGAGTGCTTAAAATTTTAGCTTTTCACATTAACAGGGTATTTTATAACTGTGTATATTTTTTTGTATATTGTGGTTGATTTAATTTTGCTTTCGAAAAACTTCAAGCTTTTAAGTAGTTTCATGAAGGAACTTGATACTCTTCCCAGTTCATAGCTGGCATATTGAGATGTGTAGGTGACTTACCTGACTCACAGCAATTTGTGGTTTGCCACAAATATAGATTTGCCTTCTGAGTTTTAGTTCAGTGATCTGTTCACTAGAAATGAGTGTATTCTGATAAAGGATGTCATTTTCTACATAGCCGGGAAACCTACAATGCGCTTACTAATTGGTTGACGGATGCAAGAATGTTAGCAAGTCAAAATATTGTGATAATACTGTGTGGAAACAAAAAGGATCTTGACGCAGATCGTGAAGTTACTTTTTTAGAAGCATCCCGGTTTGCACAAGAAAATGGTAAGTAGTACAAAATCTTCATGTAGCATTCAATCATGCTTAATACTTAAAATAATTAATTCTTTGTGCAGTTAGGGAGTACTTTGCCCACTGTACCTTGTCAAGCATCTACAGAAAAGAGGGTTCTGTCAGTACATGAGGCACAGAGAGAGGACAATGCCTGCAGTGAGAACTATGTGTACTGTTTAAGTCTCATTACCAGTGATTCTTCTAGCCACAAATGCTACTTAAAGAGTACCTTCGACATGGAGATATATTCCCTAAGGACTGTAATACAACTTCAAGTATTACCTTGCCTCCAAAGGGCTGAGGAGAAAATGAAGAGCACAATTTCCTAGTTTTCAGCATCTTACGGATTCTATAGATGATAGAAAAGGTTGGATGGGGTGTGCTGCAGTTGGAAGCAATGCATTTTACTCATGGGAGAATGAGTTCAGTGCATGGCATGGATCCAGAGGACTATTACCTGATCTGTAGTATTCAGAATTTCCAGTCCTTGAGGACACATTTCTGTGGCAGCTAAAGCCAGTCTCAATCTGAGCTTCTGTGCTGCAGTCCTGCCATCAGTAAAGTCTAGTTTTGCTTGTATAAATCAATTATGAATAGTCTTTTTTACCAACTGTGGCTGCTGTCTGTCCTTTTGCATATAACTTTCTATTACTGGGAAAATTTATGAAGTTCTTCGGTTTCATGTGCTATTTTGCATGCGCAGCCCGGGTTGTTATCTTTGGATTCCAACTTTCTAGGTTAATACATAAATTTCAGAGGCAGTGTTTTGTGGGTTTAGTAGTCTTGCTGTCAAAACCTTATTTTTCTGGACCACACTATTTGATGATAGTTTTCCTTAAGTTTAAGACAATTATTATTGTTTCTAGCTTTCATGCGTTGAATTACTATATCAGACATTCCAGACTAGTTTTGTGATTGTTTTTCTGGTGTCCAATGCAGAGCTGATGTTCTTGGAAACAAGTGCACTAACAGGGGAAAATGTTGAAGAGGCCTTTGTACAGTGTGCAAGAAAAATACTCAATAAAATTGAATCAGGTAAATTGAGTTTTATATTCTTTTAATGTTTAGGTTGGTTTTTTCCCCTGAAAACTAAAAGCACACATGGAAATATTGCCATTCAAAGTTCTCTATTGGAATTAACACAATGAACCAAAATGTCATTGTGGTAAAGTAACTCGTGGTTATAGCTGCTTCCCATATGCTTTAACGGAACGGACATCCAAGTCAGATCGGTATATCTAAAAGGGGTGGTGCTGTGAATTATGGATGGTTTTGCAAGGCATTTACCTTAAGTCAGCTTTGAGCGTAGGCCGTGTGTTCTGTGGGTTGCTATATCCCTAGTCACATCAAGCCTGACATTAGATGTTTTTAGCAACGCAGAATAAAAACCCAGTATCAGGGCAGACATAACTTTTAATTCTGCTTCTCATATGTAGCAGGAAATATAGGCAAGAGAATTTGAACAGTAATACAGAAAATTTCAGGGATGTTTCCTAGCAACTGTTTCTATGAAGCAACCTTTCTGCCTGTTGGTTAAAACCATTTTTACTTTGTAGACCTAGAAATATACCGGAAGCTTCTCAGCACAAGTGGGCAGGTTTCTATCTGAGACAGGCTCCTAAGTGTTAGGTCATTACAGCTAATTTATATTGCAGTTTTTCCTCTCTTATCTTCTAGTTGTTCAATATCTTCAAAGTTTTAGGTATTGGCCATATTGAAAAGTCTGTCTCAGGTTCTAATTACACCATTTTGAATGCCAAACAAATTTTTAGATTAAGAGAGTATGGTACTACTTTCTTTGCAGATTAGTCTCCAAAAGCTGGTGGTTTTTAACAGTGTTAGCAGAAAACATTTTGGATATCTCCTTTGTTAGACGTAGTTAGTGGAAATACATTTCTTGTTGCAGCTTCACTTGGAGACAAACGGCTTTGTCATTCTGATTAAGGGCATGTGGTTGAAATGACAGGAGAAAATGATACAGGTTTGGAATTGCCTAAAAGTAAACAAAATTACAATAGTGCTCTCCATAACTAGAGCAGAATATCATTATGGATTGGAATGTATTATTTGCAAGTGATCCATCTTCTTGTGACCATTTTGTTTCTCATCAGGAGAACTGGATCCAGAAAGAATGGGCTCAGGTATTCAGTATGGAGACGCTGCCTTGAGACAGCTGAGATCACCACGTAGAGCACAAGCACAAAGTGCTCAGGAGTGTGGGTGTTAAAGAAACAAAACACAAAATCCCAAATACTTACTTTAGATACAGAAGGTAAGGTTACAAATATCTCAGGGTGTTGGATAAATTACAGCACACTTATGAAATATGGTATCAAGTGCTTGCTTTTTTCACAGTTAGCCTGTAAAGTAACATAGAATCTAGTGAAATAATGCACAGTAGGATGGTTAAATTTTTTTATACTTGGATTTTTCTTCTACCATCTGCCCACTAAAGCAAGACTAGTGCTCTTACTGAAGTATTTCTAGATCTTTCTTACTCTGAGTAATGCTGTAGAAAACATTTTAAAATGCCTTATAGCCCTAAAAGTTCCCTAATGCACTGTAGAGAAGGTGAATCACTTCTGTTGCATCATGAACAAATATTACTAGAAATGAGAACTCACAAAATGTATGGTGCAGTATCTCACCCAAAGCTATTATATAGTTTCTGAAAATACAAAGTTTAAAGACTGAGACTTGAAAATTAAAGATAACACTGGATTTCAAACTTCCACTGACTTTTTTTTTTCCCCCTACCTAAAACCAGCCTGAAGTCGTTCTGATTCCTGTCTGCTACGAGCAGAAGTGTAAACAAGAGAATAGTACTGTTTGCTACTATTGTCATCAGAGTGTTGTCATCTAAAGTAGCTCTTCTAGGGCTGTTGCAGCCTATGGAATGGGTGTGCAGTCTTCTAAAAGTCTTCGTAAGACGTTCTTCAGGGAAAGTGAGGAACAAATTTTTTCCCTTTGCCAGTGGTAGGAGAGAGACATAAAAATCATGTAACCTACTCCTAAGAACAGCTTAGTGGTTAGTCTTTCTTAGCAACAGTTGTCCTTAAGACAACTCTCTATTCATAGATTTTACTTAACTCCTTGCAGCATGTAAGTGCATGTTAGGACAGTCCTTTCTCCCTGTGTAGTTAATTATTCTGATATAATTAATCCTTATTTCTCTAATACAAGGACAGCGCTATCAAATTAAACAAGTACTGCAGGCATGGTTACTGCATTATCTTTACTGTATTCATTTTTTATCAGTTTGAGCAGTGCACAGCAGCAGAAGCTTTACAGAACGTTAAATAAGGTAGCATACAATTCTACATTCTTGTATTTTGTTCTGTATTCTGGGAGCTTAGCTCCCCATTAAAGCTCAGAATTTTAAGTAATGGATAGGAATCTTTGAACTGCTTTCCTCCCTTATTTTCCTCTTATAAAATATCATCCTTCAACTGAGACTGCTGGAAAAGGGCATTAATTTAGTCCAGATTTGGTATGACTCTACAGGAGTTAATGTTTAGTGATCTTATTTCAGGAGTTGAGTTTTCAGATTGATCAGGTGTAAATAATTGATGGAATTCTTGTGTATTTTACAGCTGTCCTTGCAAATGGTGTTTGAAGAAACAGGAAAGCTTGAAGGCTATACAGTTTCTAGAAACATCTTTCCGCTATCTACAGACAGAGCAGACCACTGCTGACAGAAAGGTGTGCTGTGTGGTGTGGGGCAAGAATGTTCACATGACACAAGTGTCTGCAAAGCAACTTCATAATTCGGTGGACAATATTAAGACTCGTACCTGTATGTAACCATTTTCCATTACCTATTTTTGTTCTTTCACCTCTAGTTTAAATCATTGCTATATACTGTAAATAATGTAACAGTAAATTTACAAAGCATGGTATACTTATGTATGCTGATAGAATGTTGCACTACAAGCAGTTTAATATTTTATTTTTTTATCATATAAACAAATTTAACTGAGGTAGGCTTTGTCATGTTTGTTTGTTGCACAATAGTTTATATTTACAACCTGAATTATAAAACCACTGGCACTGTCAGTGAGGGGTGTTGCTTTTATTTTTTCCTACTTAGTTTGCCACCTTCTAACAAGCTGTTGACATGACCGATTCTCAGCACATGGTTAGGTCCCATACTGACATTTACTAATACGTCAAGTTGGAAAAGTAATTTTTATGGATGTTCACGTATCCTATTTTATCACAGTTCTTAACTAAATTCTGAAGCTCTTTTCTCAAACTTCAAAAGTTTAGAAAAAATACTTTTAAGTCTCTCAAATGGTTGTTGACTGACTTGCATTTTTTTTTCTGGGTCCTGATGTTTTGTGTAGCACTGGCATCACGAAGGTGGGACGTATACATGAACAGAACTATGCATCTTCTATGTGCGTTGTAATTCTAGGGCAGGGACTTACAAACAATTATCACAGTGGGAGGAGTCCTATCACAAACAAAGCAGTTAGTTAGCTATGGAAATATGATCTCTGTTGAAGCATACCTGGTGAGGTACAAACTGAACCCAAACGGGTGGTTCTAAAGTAACCTGAATGTATAAAATTTAAAATACTAATTTATTTTTCTTATACATTCATAAAGTACAATTAAGAACTTGAATTTTAAAATTAGACTTTAGGGACTTACAGTCTGTCTTGCTGTGAAGCTCTACCTTTGAACTTCATGTGAGTGTGCTGTATGTAATGCTGTTCACATTGCCCCCAGGAGACTCATGTGATGGAAGGAAAAAACCAAGTGTACTACTTACTTATGTAGTTCTTTCCTCCTGTGAAACTCATCAAGGGGAATTTCAGCATTGGTACTGATTTTTTTCTCTTCCCTCCTGTGTTAAAAGACACAATTCAGACTTTCTTTCCTGCCCTCTTTTTATTGTGGGGAAGAGGCATGGGGCAAGAGATTATGAATCCTGTCCCCATTTCTCAACTGGAGACAGAAGAGGAAGAGACTTGCAGAAGGTCCAAAGAGGGAGGACTGAACCACAAGTATTGCATATCATTTTTACAGTGCCGTGACAACTGATCAGGTAAGACACCTGTGGCTTTTGTTTTGCCAGATAAGGAGCTGCAGAACTAAGCTGGTGTTTTTGGAGGCAGCTGGATTCAACTGATTGGGGGGGGGCAACTTCACTTGCACTGGTGGAAATCACTAGTGACATTTTTACTTAGTTACTTGTATAACTAGGAATGGGGTGTCTCCTTGGAAGTGCAAATTAACACAAAATAATTAATTTGATCAGAACTCAGTAGGTCAAACATGCTTTATTGTAGATATGAATCTTTTCTATTTAAGGGTCACTTGTCAAATGCATGTTTATCAGAAAACTGATAATTTAGAGGGCAGTTAAAGCACAAGAGCAAAGCAAGAATGCTGCACAGAGGTACACCATCTTTCATGGAATTAGAATTGTGTTTGTTTAAAACTATTCCCTTAGTCCTGACATTTTGGTTCAAATGGATGCTTATCTGAAAATTATATACCTTAGGTCATCTCCAAATTAAAAGGAATTAAGTTTACTTTGTACTTGAAAAGCCTAGGTTTAGTTTTAAAAAAGCTGTTGGGTCCAAAGACTTTGTTATATCTCTCTGCTATCTATCTTGTTATATTTAGGATTGGATTTATTACATAACTAACTGATTGATAGCAATTATTCCCAAGGAGTATGCTCTTCCTGATAAGACTGTAAAGTATTTTTGCAGCTGCTTAACTGTGCATTTACAAGATCATCAAAGAACTCCAAAGAAACTTACATGTCTTTCTTAATCCTCACTCAACTTATTTGGGCTTTCACTACTCAGAACTGGAAGTAATTACCAAAAGCAAGTCCTCTGAAGTAGATGGTGGATGTAGCTGTCTTCTACCAGTCCAAATGGTGTATTATTCAACTGAGATGTGTTTCTGCCAGAGTTGGGGGAAGGGAGGGTGTTGGTTCTGAAACCCCAAGCCAATTCTGTGAAAGGATGAGATTTTGGGGCATCTGCTCCCTGTCCCCCCAAGAACCATGATCAGAGTGTGATACACTGATGCAAGTGGAAGCTGAGCACTTGCCAGCTGTGACATAGCACAAGTACAGCTAGAGGTCTCTCTCTCCTGTCACTGTTACAAGGGTTGAGGGGGCACAGGCTGTCAATCAAAACATCTTTCCATTATTACAGTAGCAGTTGAAAGGAGCAGTTGACTGTTACTTAATTCTGTTGCTTTTAAATAGAAATTTTAGGGGTTTGGCAGGGATTTTCTTATACTACTTCCTGTCCTTTTCCTTTTGTGTATGACTAGCCTCTTTTGTATACTCAGTTCCTATGATCATTTTGGTCAAGTGTCTGTGGTTAGGAAGCAGTAAGCACAGTTTTATTCTTTCTGTAACCAACTGTCTTAAGCTGTCCCTTTCCTACCTGGAAGGAAAGAAGAATGTCATTATAGTGAGTTTTGACATGTTTTTACCATTTTTTAAATGTATATTCTTACTGTATACACATTAACCAGGTTAATGTGCATGTTTCATAGTATTGCAACCTTTTATGCTGCATATCTCATTGACACTTTAAAAGGAAACTTTCTAAAATGGCAATTCCTGAGGGAAATACTGTTGGAAGCAATAGCTCTCACCAGTGCAAAGCTATATTGTTTACTATTTTTCCTCTGAGGGTTTTTATTTCTAAAAATAAACATCATGCCAATAACAGCCCTAGAGTAGAATTTAAGCTTTAGCATTATAGCTTACCTAAATAGCAAGTGATAAATAGGTTAAATTGTGGATGCTTTTAGTGTAAAACTTACTTTACCAAAGCAACATGGCTTGGAGTTTTACATCAAATAATACTGGGTACCTATATCCTGGGATTTATTGGATGTGGAGCTTTAGCTGTTGAGACCTTCAAAAGATTTCAATGTTTTATTAAAGCCTATGTCTTGCCTTTTAATGAGTCTGTTGCCTATACTATTTCATTTAATGCTTGTATCTAGCACCAAATAAAGAATCTTTCTTGATTTTTCTAGGTGTCCTACAGCAATTTCTATTTAATTGTAGAAGTTTTGTCTGCTAAGCTAAGTAGTCCAAACCTTAGGTGGTTGTAAAAGAAGAACCACTACACTTCTACTAAATTCATTGCCTAGTCAGTATGTGGCTGGGACAGCAGCAGCTAAAGGCAGAGGAGTGCTCCAGCATGTTTCCCAGGAGCAGGGCCCTCTTGTATTCCCTGGTGGTGACAGCTTTGCCTTGGGGCAAAAGAGGGCCCTAACCCTGCAACACTGCTGCTGTTCCCACCCCCCCACATGTCCTTGAGTGGTTATGGCTGCAGAGATGCACTTAGCTCCTTCTGTCTTTTTATACTAAAGCCTGGTCTAGGTCTCTTAGACAAGAATGTGGCTTTGTAAGTTAATGCTTTTTTAAGAAGTTAAAGCTAGGGGAAGATGTTTCTCCAGACTATTAGGCAACTGTGAATTCAATCTCATCTATTCTTTATAGTCAACTAGCTACCTTATAGCTCAGAAGTACACAGCTCCCATAAGCCCTTAAAAATGGATGCTATAAAAACCCTGATTACTCTGTGCAACTCACTTTATATTCTATATGCTGAAAATCAACACTATAAAAAGATACATTGTAAATCCACAGAGAACAGAAATACCAGGTCCCTCATTTACTCTAGAACCAGCAGCATTAGAACTCCAGCACAGCCATCTTGTAAGAGCTTAACTTTTCCCATGTCCAAGATCATACTTGTTCTTAGCAATACAGCTTCCTGTTTCCCCCCCCATGTACCTCTTCCAAAGTTCTGAATTACAATTCCCAAAGGCTTCAGCATGCATGGCACTTCAGATAGCTATTCTAATTTAGGCTCTATTTTTTTCCCTTGTTAGGTGTAGAAAAAGCAAGAAAATTGGGAAAGTGTATTAACAAGTCACAGAAAAACTTGAGACAAGCTCAGCTCTCAGCTGGACTTGTAACTGTCACCCAACCCTGTCCCCAGCACCAGTCATTACAGAAGTCTGTCACTTTTCAGGACAGAATATATGGGACAAGCACAGCCACAGTTTGCATGCAGAGACTCAAGAGCACTGTAACTGGAAAACCTGAAACCTCAAAAAACATAGTACAAGCAGTCAAAGCACTTTGTATCACTTGTTTTATTCACATTACAAGTCAAGACTACACTATTAAATATAGACAATACAGAAGCATTAAAAACAAATACTGTTAAAAACTTTAAAAAACACATATTGCTTCAAGCTTAGATGGTATTTCCCTATCACTTTTAAAGTGAATTCAGTGCTAACAATAGCTGAGGCAGCTTCCCATTCACTTGTACCCCTAATTTTATAAGGGCTACTGTCAAGGTGTTGAATCAGGCTCCATATATGGCTTTCTGCTAAGTGCACTAACTGAGCTGGAAAATAAGCTGGAACATCCAAGTTATCAACATAAGGCCCTCAGATTGCTAGCTTTTGGTCCCTATCACAATAAAAAAAGTCAGAGGCCCTCATAGTTCAGTGGCACTGCATTATACCATAAAAAAAAATAACAGATACACTTCCCTACATGTTAAAAGTTTGATTAAAATGTGCATTTGCTACCTGGATAAAATCCTTACCAGAAATTCAGGTCTGTCCCTCAGTTTCATTAAATTTGGCTCTTAAGTTTAGCTATTACCTTGACTATCTCAGCTTCCAGTGAAAAAGTCTGTAATTAGTCATTGAAGATGTGACAGCAGTGACTGAACAGGCATGCTACTGTATTTTACAGGGACATTCTTATGCAGTTTTCATTGTAACATTTTACATTGTAACCACTAGTCTTCACAACACTATAGTTAAATTGCAGCATTACACATTGTAAGAGTCTTGTTTCTGAAAGTACTTAGCTAAAGTGAAACAAAAAGGAATAAACAGTTATTTCAATGAAGACTTTGGACAACTGAGTATTTACTGTGTTCTTACAAACAAAGTTTTACTTCTAAACCAGGAGTGAGAAGTG